GTTTTCGTGTCCAACAGCATCCCTGCAAGCTGGAGTCGGTGTTCAGGTGTGTTGTGATCTGCGTGCTTGCATGCAAGCTGCAATCAATGCTGTGAGCTGCCGTTGCCATTGCGCTGCTGGCACAGACAACATCTCACCCCAACCCACCCGCGACATGCTCCCTCCTTATGCGAGTCCAACAATCCACACACTCTCGTCACGCAAACCAACTCACACACCCTCCGTCACGCATAACCTTCGCCTCGCCATGCATGCCCATGTTCATGCCCATGTCCATGCTCATGTTCATGCCCATGTTTATGACAACAGGATTCGCCCCAGCTGCCTGCTCGCGGCACCGCTTTGTCGTCGTTCCGGTTTCCAACAGTGCCATCCGTATCGCGCCTGTCTGAGGGCGAAGAAGATGAGACCGAAGACACAACAGCGGCGCGCGCGGATGTGCGGACTGACCAGCGGCTGTTTGCGCAGGGGCAAGCGAGCACAGCCAAGAGCAGGCGGCAGAGTGGCCGCAGTGGGCGCAGCGTTCGAAGTGATCGCAGCGTTTGGAGTGATCGTCGTGGCGGCGGGAGTGACACGCGGCGGCGTGGGGAGCACAGACACAGGTCGTCCCGCGTCTCGCGTCCAAGAGCGTACGTGCAGCAGTCGTGTGCCCAGTTGCAGTGTGAAATATATATTTGTTTGCCTGCAGGCACGCGGCGTTGCATTGGCGTTCTTGCTGCCATGGATGGGTTGTGTTGTTGCTCCCCGTGCAAACTAAGCCCAAGCAAGCACGCACATGCACACAATATGCGTCAACCTTACACCCACCCACATACACACACACATACACGCAACCTCTATTCCTCACACACACACACACACTCACTCACATACACACAACCTCTATTCCTCACTCACACACACACACAAAACTCACACACACACATACTCACGCACACGTGCGCGCGCATAACACACCAACACCAACCACACCTTGCTCCTGTGTCCATGTTGTCTGCGCGCCATCAGGCGACGGCCCGTATCGGAAGCGCCATCCCAGTCACCGTCATTGTCGCCATCAGGAACATCAACACATCGCCGCTCCCCGCGCGTGTTCATCGCCAGTCGCTCCCCGTCTCCGTCGCCCACATATGCGCGCGTTGCGAATCTCACGCCCCCGAACATGGCCGAGACGCTCCCACATACGGCGTCGGGCCCCTCAATGCTATCGCAGACAATGGGCGCATCTGTATCGTCATCGGTTGAACGCACACGCACCCATCACCACCACCATCGTCATCACCACAGTGGCGGAAGCGCAAGCAACAGCGACAGTGCACGTCACCAATACCATGAAGAGCCGTACCCGCAGCATCGCCACTCGCAGGTGCCACCGCCATCACAGCGACAGTATCAGGAGAACACAGGGACGGAGAAGCGAGAGCGGCGGCGTGCAAAGTCCGCAATCCCTCGCTTCGACTCGCTGTCACGAAAGGCCAGAAAGAGCGACACGAGACCCGTGCGTGTGCATCTCGTCAACACGAGCCCACGCACGTCCCCGTTCAGCAACACACTGCCAGCCGGCAGCCCGCAGCTGTTCCGCTCCCTGCAAGACCTCTCACATTCCCCATGATGTGTGTATGTGTGTGTGCGTGTTGTGGTGTGTGTGTGTGTGTGTATGCCCTGGGGACGAGAATAATGAATTCGCGCTTCCGCAAGACGTACATGTCTACATGTGTCTGTGTGACACTTCATTTGCATATGTAAGCACCTTTACTTGTGTACATCCCTTTGTTGGTAGCTTGGCTTCCTCCTTTTTTCGTGTTATTTGCCCGGGTTGTTCAGCCCCTCTATTTCTTCTTCTCTTGTGGTATTGGCAGAAAGGCTACATACAGCAATACCTGACGGACGTTTAATGTGAGCATCCTCTAATCATCATGGCAACAAAGCATGTGTACTTGCGCGTACACACACACACACACACACACACACACACACACACACACAAACACACACACACACACACACACACACATCAGTCGCGTTCCCGCAGCGGAACCTGTCGCTCAAAGTACTCGACCATGAGCGGTTGCGACAACACGGCGGCACGAAACACTTTGAACGTCATCGTCTCCGTGTGCGGATTCGCCTCCATCTCCTCAACTGACGCTTTGGACCACAGCGACGCTTCGGAGCGTGTGCGATCTCGCTGCTGCGTTGTTGCTGATGCTGTTGCTGACGCTGGTGTTGATGCTGTTGTTGCTGGGTGGTGTGAGGCAGGGTGCGACCCCACTTCCTCCGCCACCATCATCAACACGGCATCTGCATCGGCAGCGGGCGTTGGCGTCATGTCTGCTGCTGTTGTCACCTCAGGCGCTGCGGGCTTCTGCGCACTTTCTTCTTCTTCTTCTTCTCCTGGCTCTCCATCCTCCGCCTGTGTGGTGTGCTGTCCTTCACTGGCTTCCGGCACCACCACCTGCCCACCTTTGCTCGTCGCTTCATTCTCATCGCCTGCATTCTGCTCACCATCATCACCAGTTGCAACCTCCTTCTCCTCCTCCTCTACTTCTTCATCATCATCATCGTCATCATCGCGATCACCAGCGTCGCTGAGGGCCTCTGCATCATCATCATTATCATCATCGTCATCAGCTGTTGGCGCTCCTTTCTCCACCACCACGTTCGTCTCGCTGGCACCTGTGCCCTTGTCCTCACCCTCACCATCACCACCACCAACGCCAGTCTGCCTGGCAGAATCAGCACCGTGTTTGTGCTCGGCTGTACCTTCCCTCTCCTCACCATCGCTCACATGCACACTCATGGGCAGGCATTCCTGCTTGGACGCAAGCGTGACAGCTGTGGCAACCACCTCGTTGAATGCTTGCTCGTAACGCATGTCCTTCTCGCACGAGTTGGTCTGATGGCATGGATGCATGCATGCGTGGATGATCGCAGGTGAGGTGATGTGAAGAAGGCAGTCGCTGTACACGCAAAGGCACACCCGAAAGCAATCCATAGTCAAGAAGTGCACACATACAGTGAGCTCACACACACACACATATGCACGCACGCACACACATGTGCATGCACGCACGCACACACACATATGCATGCACACACGCGCGCGCAAGAAACGCACGGTGAAGAGTTCGCTGAGGTGCTGCCAGAGGTTTGCGAGCTGCTGGTGGTCAACTTTGTCTGGGAACTTGCGCGTGTTTGGAGTCTCTGCATTGCACAGCAACGAAGTGGGATGAGGGGCGGAGGAAGTGGTGGCTGGAAACTAGAACCGCACACACATACACACATGCGCACACAAGCACGAACACACACATGCGCACATGCACACATTAACACGCTCACTCACCAAACATGCGGAGAAGCATGACGAGACGGCTGTTGAGGGAGCCGCGGCAAACAATGCCCAGGGCGTTGGTGAAGGAAACAAAGTTGACAGGCCCCTCCTTGTGCAACAGCGTGTACATTGCGTCAGCAAACACGTCCCATTCCGTGAGCTTGCGTAAGAGCGCACCAAATTGCGTCTGATCGAGATACCGGCGCTTGTGTCGGTCCTTCTGCTGCGTCCAGAACGCAACCTGTCACACACGCGGGGTCGCGTTGTCGTTGTTAAAACCGTGAACAAGGATGCGGTGTGTTGCGTGTTAGCACTACTTAACGTACAAACACACACACACACACACACACACACACACACACACACACACACACACACACACACACACACACACACACACACACACACACACACACACACACACAACAGTTGGCCCCCTCCCCTCCCATAATCATCCCCGTCACAATCATCATCAACCACCACAGCCATTATCATCGCCATGGTTCCAACCTTCATGCATCCGTCGTGGAATTCGCGGTGAAGAAACGCGAGCTCGTCCTTGTCAAAGAGCGAATCACCGACAACTGTCCGCACAGCACTCCGGCTCACAGAATTCTGCACCCAGCAGCGGTGGTGTGTGGGGGGCAGGGAAGGGATGTGCAAGTGTGCTGGTGTGACCAAGCGAACTTCAGATTCAAAACACACACACACACGTTACACACTCAGGCACACTCGGATATACACACAAACACGACACGACAAGCATGCGCGGCCCAACACAGCAGACGAGGGCAGCGCACCTGGAGCTCCTGCACAACGCCCAGGCGGACGTTTCGACGCTGCTTGATGAGATATTCGTTCGTGACGTAGTGGCCGTATTTGTTGTACGCGCGGTGGAGCAGACTGTTGACGTTGCTCCCCTGTGCATGCAGGCACGGTTCGTGAGGTGACATGGCAACATTGCATCATGATGGATGGGAGCATGTGGACAGGGATGAGAGAGGAAGGCCAGGGGCGCGCCAAACACACACGGCAACAAGCAGGTGACAAGCTCATGAATTCATTCGCTCGTTCGACACACAACACACAACACACACACACACACACCCGTACCTTCTTGTCGCCCTTGTGCGTGGTCCGCGTCTCTGTGTTTGAGATTGCCTGTAGCGCCTGCGTGAGTGTCGCCATGATGTAACAGTCCTCTGGTTGTTCTGCACACGACGGATGGTGAGGACACGGCAACACGAGGGTGGGTAAGCGTGTGCGGTTGCATGGTGTTGCGGGCGAGTGATGGGTGAATATGTGCGTGCTGCGAAGTGCTCAGGTGTGTTGGCATGGTGTGCTGAGAGCACGTTTAATGTGCATGTGTGATGGACGCACGAAGAAGCTCGTCGTAGTTGTCTTCGAGAAGCTGAAGGCCGAGCATCAGCAGCACCTGCATATCACACAACCGCACACGTCAGATTCCAACACCCAACACGCATACATCAACACACATCAACACACACACGCACACATCTACACACATCAACACACATCAACACAAGCCATCGCAATATCACACACGCACGCACACACGCACACACGCACACACACACACACACACACAAGCAAACACAAGCCATCACAACATCACACAAACGCACACATATGAGCAAACACAACCACACCCATTCAATTCCCCCCCCCCACACACACACACTCACGCGCGCGCCATCGTAGAAGACGCAGTCGAGAACGCTGACGGCGCTTTGGAACGGCATGACGCTGACAAACATCGTGATGAACCACGGCAGCGATAACATGCCCAGCAGACCCGTCGCTTCAAGGTGGCGGCCAAGCTCCGGCATGAACTCCGTGACAAGATTCTCAAACACGCGCTGGTCAACCAACGCGCCAACAATCTTCTTGGTGTAGTAGTCAGGCAGCAGCCGCTCGCACAGCGCGCACAGCAGCCAGAACGCCTCCTCCTCGCTCGTGTAAATGAGCATCACGGAGGTGACAATGTTCATGGCCTGGCAGTACCCAATCTCCGGGTTGCGCCACGCGTATGCCGTGAGCACACGACGCAGCGCATCAATGCCAACATCGCGCTGGAACGCCGGGTGTTCTGGCAGTGAGCGGTGCAGGTCACGCTCAATCTCCTCAATGGCGAGACACGTGCGGCCGCGGTTGGCAACGAGGAGCCGTGCATACTCGCCGGGCGCCGCCTGCATGTCGTGCAGCGCGCCGCTGTACTCCATCCACAGCTGCCATGGGCAGGATGGAGGTGGCGGGAGAAAAAGGGGGGGGGGGTGAGCGTGTGTGCACGCGAGTGTGAGTGTCTGTGTGCGCGCATGTGTGGGTGTGGGTGGGGGGGGGACTCGTCACACACGTCACTTCATATCGTGTCACGTTGCATGGTCACGGCAGTCAATCAACCGATGAAGCAATTCATCACGCACTTGTGGCCTGAGTTTGAGTGGAATGCCCTTGACGACCAAATCGCGTTCTGCGCCCGTTCTAAACGTGGATGCACCACACGCATTTTCCTCCAAAAAGGCGTGCCATTGTTGCTCTGGCGACACGCGAAACGAACACGAGACGACATGATGGACAAGAAACACCAAGGCCATCCATGAGCCAGGCAGTCAGGTCTGTGTGTGTGTGCGTGCATCCGTGTGTGTTCGTATGTATGTGTGTGTGTGTGTGTGTTTGTGTGTGTTCGTATGTATGTGTGTGTGTGTGTGTGTTTGTGTGTGTTCGAACAACAATCAACAGTGCGTATGCCCAAACTAGGGACCGAACAAGCAGCCAATCCAACCTTTGAGGAGACTGATGTGGTGCTGCTTCGTTGGCTGCACCTCCTTGCCGGAATCCGTCCCATATTCCCTGCAGCAGTGTTCATGAGTGTGTGTGTGTGTGCATGGGTGTGCATGTGTGTGATGAGTGTGCATATGTGGGATGTGTGTGTGTGTGTGCAGGAAACGCGAATGAGCATGTTGGAGGTGAAGCACAAGGACAATGGTCAGACACACACACACGCGCACGCACACAAGAACAAGCACGGAGCAGATGTGTACATGGTGTGCTCACTCGTGCAAGGGTCGCTTGAGGATGTGCTCCTCCTCAACAATGACATCGGCGTCTTTTTCCGCTGCATCTGGGGTGGAGGGGAAAAACAACAACAGGGCAGATGAGGCGATGATGGAGAAAAGTAGATAGAACCATGCGCAGAACAATGAACAATACACACACACATACACACACACATACACGCACACACCATCACTGCAATGTCGAGCAATGCGTGTGGGCGCACCGTGCTTCCTGCGTCGGGCCTTTGCTTCCGTTGTTCGGTCGAGTGCAAGCCGCGCAATCTTCGCGGGATCCGCCATGAACCCAAACATCGTGTGGCCCTGCGGTGGTCGTCGTAGCGGTGGTGATGGTGGTGGTGATGATGATGGTATTGTGACAGTGTCAACACACGATGGACGCGCTATTATTCCAACACACACACACACACACACACACACACACACACACACACACACACACACACACACACACACACACACACACACACGCCTCACGCAACCTTCTGTCCGTGCGGGGTGATGCAAATTGCGGACATGACGGCTGCTGGATCCGATGACCGGCGCGCCTCGTCCGTCAGCTCAATCGTCGCAATCTGGATACAAGCGCCATGTGTGTGTGTGTGTGGGGGGGGGTGGAGTTATGGGGGATGTTGGATGGTGGCAGTGGTGGACAGAACCTGAATTGCCGTTTGCTCATCACAAGGCTGTGGTAGTTCATGCACAAGAGTACACATACACAAGAGTGCACACACATGTAAAACACACACACACACACACACACACACACACACACTCGACGCACGTCTCTGTATGCGAGGATGAGGGTGAGGCCGCTTGCTTTGCCGCTGCTGAAACACATGTAGTTGGCAGACACATACAACCGCCCAAACACGGGCTCCTGTGGTGGTGGTGGTGGTGGTGGTGGTGGTGGTGGTGGTGGTGATGGTGCGTGCGTGGTTGAGATTGTGCGTGAATGCAAGCGGGCTGCTGTCTCTCATGAAGTGACTCGTGGCAACAGTGCACACACACATACGTGGACCCTCTGCAATTGGCACATAACACCACAATAGCACAACAGCACAGCAGCACAACAGGACAACACCACACGACACGTACGCGTGTGTGAGTGTCGAAGACGGCACAGTCCCATCTGCTCTCTAGCTGTTCAGACTGCGGCAGGCGAAACAACTCCCGATATTGCTGTCGTGACACGCATAACACGACGTGGGGCAAGTGCAGATGGCGTGCATGGTGTGGATGTGTATGGTGTGTGCATGGTGTGTGCATGCGTGCGTATGCATGGTGTGTATGTGTATGGTGTGTGCATGGTGTGTGCATGCGTGCGTATGCATGGTGTGGGTGAGTGTGTGCGTGCATGCGTATGCGTGTGTGTGCATGCGTATGCGTGTGTGTGCATGCGTATGCGTGCGTATGCATCTGCAAAATTACGCGCAACGCGTGGTGGAAGGCGCAATGGTACAATGCCCAACAGCCATGTCAGGAACGCAGCTGCACCAACACCATACCTGCGTTTCGTATTGGTGGCAGTAGTATTCAAACAAGCGGTCATCCGGCACATCGCGCTCCGCCTGCGTGGACAATACAACACGAAGATGAGATGGATCAGGTGAGGGGAGGGAAGGTGCAAAATCGCCTGCGTGTGCAATCGTGTGGAATGCGAAGGCACCAAGGAATAGGAAGGTGTGCCCGTCACGACCACGATTGGGTCAGATCAGCACCCGTTCACAACCACCACCACCACCACCACCACCACCATCCGACTGCAGCGGTGCGACGCACGTGTTCGTCGCGCATGAGCTGCGTCTCGTATTCGAGCGTGTCGAGATAGCTGAACGCGTCGTCAGAGATCTCAAGCAGCCTGATGCGACATGTATATACATGTGCGTGCGTGTGTGTGTGTGTGTGTGTGTGTGTGTGTGTGTGTGTGTGTGTGTGTGTGTGTGTGTGTGCGTGTGTGTGTGTGTATGTGTGTGTGTGATGTGAGAGCAAGCGAAGGACTGCTCGTGACAAGACGGGCACACGTAGGCACACGTGCGTGAAAGGCAGTAATACCAATACACCACCATCAGTACAGAGGCGTGGGCAGTGCACCTGCTCATGGCTTTTGCTGTGAGCTGATAGAAGAGCTGTAGCATCATCTCTCGATCCGGCACAGACGACAGCACGTGCTGTAGTGGCAGTAGTGGTGGTGGTGGTGGTGGTGATGATGATGATGATGACGATGATGGTGGTGGTGGTGGTGGTGATGGTGGTGGTGGGAAGAGGTGTGAGATCGAGGCACCCGCACACACACGCACATACACACGCACATACACACACACGCACACGCACATACACACGCACATACACACACACGCACATACACACGCACATACACACACGCACACACACACACGTAATCCAAATCCCCACTCTCCCACCTTGTGCGTGCTGGTTGTGATACGGATGGCTGGAGCCATGAAGCGTGTCACCTCGACCACGCCAACAACGTGTGTCCACGGGATGGACAGTCGAACCTCCTCCCCCAAGATGAACGAGTAGAAGTTGAAGTGGTTCACAGACACATACAGCCAACCCTTCTTCGGCATCGTGTGCTTGTTGCTCCAGTAGTTGCACAGACACGCTGCAGGTGTGTGCATGTGTGTGTATGCATGGGTGCACGAGTGCGTGATTGCATACAACAATAAGCAAAAGGGCGAATTGAACTCAGTCGCGGCCATGTCTCACAATACGCTCTTCCAAGCGCATTTGCGCAGCATCACCAGCGCCACCTCCGAAACCACCACCACCAACACCTCAACCACAACAACAACTGCCACCACCACTACCTTCACCGCCGCCACCATCACCACCATCACAACGATGACGACGACAACGACGACCACCAACACCACCACTACCTCCACCGCCGCCACCATCACCACCATCACCACCACGCGTACGCACGCACAAGTTACGAGTCGCTCCTCGGGCGGCATTTGGAAGAGACGGCGGAATGCAATCACAGGCGCATCCGCCTGCACGGAGGTGACACGTGGTGGTCAATACATGAGTGCTGAACAGGTGATTGTGATGTGTGTGTGTGTGCATGTGTGTGTGTGTGTGCATGTGTGTGTGTGTGCGTGGCCGACCAACCTCTTGCTGCGCTGCGGACGGCTTGGCCTTTGCAATGCTCTCCAACTGCACGGGTGACAATCAACACAGCAAGTACGACGCATCATCAGAATAAGGTGATGTGAGGAGAGAGAGAGATAGAGAGAGAGAGAGAGAGAGAGAGAGAGAGAGAGAGAGAGAGAGAGAGAGAGAGAGAGAGAGAGAAGGTCAACATCGCGATCACGCAATCAAGTGGCTTTGACATCATGGGTGATGGTATATCGCACCTTGCCAAACACAAACTGGCGGACATCTTCTGGCGACTCGATCGAATCTATCATGGCGGTGACGGCGATTACGGGGGTGGTCGTGAGGGTGGTCTGCCATGAGCAAACGATCACACACAAAACCTACAGCACACTCACGCTCACTCACTCACACAGACACATACACTCACGCACACACACACACACACACG